GCTCAGGATAGGAAAGAGTGAAGGTACGTGTCCAACCAGTCTTTGGACTGACGACCTTATGATGATAGTCAATTCTGGTTGGTTAATCTGGTTAGTTGTTCCACTGTCTTTAATTAATTTGCTGTGTCACTCTGCACCTTTCATGTAAAAATTCAATTGATTACTTGTAAAATTCAATCACTCTTAGGTATTGCTTTTATTTAACCCAATTAGACTATAATGAAGGTTAGGGACTCGAAGAGTATCATTAACTCCTTGTCAGAATCCTCAAGGTGAAGTTTTCGGAAGATATTCCTATCGTGGGTTAGACGGCTCCATTAAATGTTTCCATCAATCTAACTGAGGCGAGGTCCAGACACTATCCCCTGTATTAGACCACATGGCACTAAGCAACCCTTGCTGAACACCTCTGTAGGGTTTTTGCCATACGCCTCTTTAGAAACCGTAGAACTATCGTTCCTGTAGCCTCCAGCCACGTTTTCCAGGAGGGTCCCCTCTAAATAAGTCTGACGAAGATCCCAACATTGACGGAACTTATATCTTGGACCCCATGTAACAGGTTTTATTTAAATTTCGGAAAGGGTGTGTAAATATATGTTACCTAGCGTAATCACCGTTTTGTTTTATTATTGTTAAGAGTTTCGAGTTATCTCTTAATTAGTAGTGTCCAGGAACACCTAGCTAAGTTTCTCGACGTAAATTTCTTCTTTATGATTGTCTTTTGGTTCTTTACTTTGACAAAGTAGCGCCTGAGTATTTTTGCTGCAATTATCTTTTGGTACATCTACCTCGTTTTATTGATAACGTAAATTTAGATAATAACAATAAGAAATAATTACGTTAAAGTGTACAACAAGTGAGACTCTATAAAAGAAATAAATCTAATCGTAAAATATAGAAATCTGAACGTCACATCAGTAAGAATCTTCAACCGAAATAAATTTCTTACAACAATATTGACTTTTAATCGGTGTTCTCTTCATACAGTTGTTTACAACAATGACAGAAATGAGTATATCAATCAAGTAAAGGATAACAATCGGAAAGTGAACAAATGTGGGTCACAGATTGTTTTTGTATTTTTTTCAAAAACAATAACAAACGTTTTCTTTAAAAGTTCAATTACAGAATTTGTTTAGAATAAACTACCAAATGCTTTTAATTAGACGTTAAAAACGTCATTACTTCAACTGATGTGCCATGATTACACTGGTAATACTTCCTTCACGTAAATGGTATTAGCAGTATTATGACGTCATGTCAGACATCATCACTAGGGAGATGATCGTACATGATCTTATTATCAAAGGCGTTGTTTCGACCAAACTATATTTAGGTACAAATATTTTTCAGAATTTGCCGATCAGCCTAATAAATGAAGGTTTATGACATGTACCCAAGCATTGTAAAATTTATTATTGTACACAGCTGGTACTTCCAAATTTGCCCCTCATATTGGGGTCTGTTATATTTGTTACTTCTTGGAACTTGTCCACACCACTTCTACCCTTAAGTTTATACCTACAGTAAAAAAGAGACTAGATCCTGTTCAACTACGAATCTTATAACATCTTAATAATATCGTTCCTGTATATACATGTTAATAAATAATTTTAAGTTAACTCTTGAAATTTTAATAACTTCACACAAAGTTAATTCGGCGTGTGAACTGTGCGTGACAAATCAAAAATAAATATACGCACAAAACAGGCGTACCTAGGACGCTCAGTTACTATTTGTGGACTCCAAGGTGTAAACACACGTACCGTATGGAGTAGGTCTCGAAGATGCTTTCCTGTGTGGAATCGCATCTATTACAAAGAGCAACGCGCGGTCTTAGTTGACTTCATAGTTCTCAGACCGCAAAATTTTGATCGTTTGCCTAAGCATACGCGAACGACATCCGAAACATAAAATAATGACATAGTTTAAGAAAAATCAAAGAAGTAACAGTGACAACAAATGCCGTTTGAATTTTCCACAGAAGAATTAACTGTGATAACTACTTTTTTTGGATGAATATTACGCAAAAGTCCAAATACGAGGAAAAAAAGGAAAGAAGGATATGGATGTATCTGTATTTGCAAATGTGAAAAATTAAAGGCGAATATACTACTATTTTGTGAATCAATATATATTCAATGTCTATTATTATATTATTATTTCAATATTAGGTAATTTTTTACCTGCTTCATTCCATGAATTTATATTCATCTTCTTTCAATTTTCGTTCACCTTTCTACCCTTGTATTGTACTTTATTTCCCTCACCACGAAAACTTTCTCAACCCCTTTTTTGTTCCCTGCGAAATGTCCATTTTCCTCCTTTTTTACAATTTCGTTTTTTCCACGTCCCATATCCATACTGCTTCATCTATTATTATCAACTAGTACCCAACTTTAATCAATCAACTTTGCCATTTGTTTCAACATCTTCTGTATTCTTCTCCCTTCCATAGAGTTTAGAGCTTTAGCTTGAGACAAGTACTTATATATGTGCAGCATTCATGTCAATGTGCTTTGGCAAAATTAATTAATTTACTTCATTTGAAATAAGATTACTTAGTATTTCTAATTTAAAGAGGATCTTCCAAAGGTTTCCAATTGCCTTTTATATTTATGGTACTTGGGTGTTTCGCAATGAATTGTTAAATGGTTAGAGAGTAAAGATTTGAAACAGACGAAGACAAAACAGACTCTCCTTTAATCCTTTTTCTCCTTTTCACAATTTTTTACCATTTCTTTTTTTCCACGTCCCATATCCATACTGCTTCATCTATTATTCTCTTCTAGTACCTAACTTTAATCGTCTTTGCCGTTATTTTCTTTCCTCTCCTCATTTATGCCATTTGTTTCAACATCTTCTGTATTCTTCTCCCTTCCATAGTCACATCACCTCTTATATAAGCCTCTGCGCCTCCGTTACCGTTTCCAATCACCTGCATCTTTCCTTCGCACTTCTTCATTTTTAGCCCATATACCTTCTTTTTAACTTTTCAAACTTCGCTTACTTCCACCTCCAATCTCATCTTCTCTTTTATAACTATTTCCAACTTGCTCTTCTCTTTGTTTTACTCTAATTCTTTTCCCTTCTTTTCTTTTCCAGTTCCGTTTCCATTCTCCTTATTCTTTACTTTTATTCCTATGATTGCTTCTCCACGTACTTTTCTATTTCCAGCTCTTATAGTACATTTTCCTTCATTTCTTCTTTAAAGTTGTTCTGTTCCGGTTTAAATCATTCCTTACCGCTTTTTTCATTATATTTATCCAATTTTTCTTCCAGTTTCTGCAATTTTCCACTTATCTCTTTCTCTAATTCTTTCATTGTTTCCTTTATAAGTTTGTTTTCTTCCCGATTCTTTTTTTGAATCTTTCCTCATTCTCTTCCATTATTTCATCTAGCAATTTCCTTAACACATCCATTTTTTAATTTTTGTATCAAGTTTTTCTATATTTTTTCTTTTCAATTCCTTGTTTTCTTGCTCCGGCCTACACGCTTTGCTTTTTTCTGTCCCTCCTCCGTATTTGAATGCGCAAAATTTGTTATCTTCTAAGTAATTTAATTTTCAAATAACTTCACTCATACTCGTCAGATTCAGGAATACAACTGACGACGAAGTGAAACGCGTGTGCACACTACCATTGCAATAATGATAATAACGTTATTACCGGTTTTTCTGGAGTCTTATTAGTGGAAACATGACAATAAAAACGTTTACATATATTTCTGAACCAAATTGATATCTAAATCACAGAAATAATATAGCACAGAAAGCTAAGCTTTTTCTGTTACTATAAAATCTGCCGCCCTCATAGGGCATATTGGCAAATCCAGTACTGACTTGTGTTTGGAGTAGAGGGGATTCGAATGGATTTTACAAGGCACAATTCAAACAATTGCTGACGTAAAAAACTAAACGTAATAACTTTTTAATGCATGTGGTGAAATGATGAGCAAGCAACTTTTATCAAGACTGAAATAGCACCAACACTTAAAAGAAAAATTTGAAAACAGAAAAAACTGCGATTAGATAGGTACGAGCACTTAAAAAAATTAAATACAATTAAAAACAGTTTCGTAAGTACTTCTTCCTAAAAAATAAAATGGATTAACATGGCATTAATAGACTGGAACACCGCTATGAGAAATGTATCAGCCTTGGAGGAGATTATGTTGAGAATAAAAAAAAAAAATTTTTAAAAACCTTGTTTTTCTTGGTCAGGCCGGAAACTTATCAATCCACCCTCGTATAAGCACNTTGTCCTATCCTTGATTTAGTGAAAACAGATTGCACTGCAGTATGAACTGCTTTATCGAAATCAACAAAAAAGTTTGTGGTGAAAAATGATATCCAAGTACAGGCGGTATGGGAATCAATAATGAAGAATGAGTTACAGAGATAGAAGAGTTATAGTTGTATAAAGAGCTGCAGTTACAACGTAAAGAAGTAAATGTTAGCACAGGGTTGAGTCACCTTCAATAAAAAGAAGTCACTTCTATGCCTGCGAACGGTTAATTTAGAAAATCGAAAAGGATTGTTAAAGGTATATGTTTGGAGCGCGGCGTTGTACGGGTGCGCGACGGAAAACAAAAGGTTAGATGCGTTCGAAATGTGGTGTTACAGGCGAATAATGAGGACACCGTGGATAAAGAAGGTTATAAATGAAGATAGAAACAATAGGAGAACAGAGGATTCTATGGAAGTCAATAAGAAATAAGCGAGATAGGTTAGTAGGACACCTTCTCAGACATGAAGGTCTAGTCAGAGACACATTAGAGGCAGAAACAGGAGTTAAGAGGAGTAGACGTAGACCTAGATTGGATTATTGTTCGTAAATGGTTAAGCATGTAGGTTGTTTTAGTTTTGGGGAAATGCGAAGATAGAATAGAGTAGAGGTGCTGCGCAATTTTTAAATACTAACCAAAAGGGCTTAAAGTAATGACCACTAAAATACAAACCAATAAAAAATACCAAGTCTATGTTAGTTTTTATTTTACAGGCGAACAGTGAACTTTACATCAAGGATCAACGGCTTGTAATGCGCGGCGATTGGGCAAACGAAATGAAGAATACAAATTTGTTCTTGAAAAAACATATAAGTAGAATTAGTAAGCTCGCTGCTATCTTTATTAATGCCATTTTTTGTTCGCTTTCTCATTTGTCGGTATGATCTTGTAATTTTATAGATCAACAAGAAATGTACATTTACAGAAACAGAAACTAGGTATTTCGTTTAGTGTTAAGTTAAGTTAAGTAGTATTATTGTATTAAACTATTACTAGATATATAATATTATTGTTCCACAATAATACATGACTTATTTTAATTGTATTGATTGATTTATTTTTCAATTCAGTGTGGACGCAAAGGCGTTGACTTAAAATTCAACTTACTATATGTAACTAAAAACATATCTACAATTTATTAATTTTATCAAATAGACATAAATGTTCCGGCATATACTAGGGTCAGTTGAAAAGTCCCCGGCCTGACACATAAATGGCGGCACCAGAACTAAATCCATATGATTTTCAGTTAGTCCTAACCTTCAAACGACGCGTCTATAAATTTGACGGCTGTCGGATCATTAGTTTGTGAATTATAGCATTTTTAGTGAAGCAACTTTTGTTATTGTGAAAAAAATGGATAAAAAGGAATTTTGCGTGTTGATAAAATATTGCTTTTTGAAGGGAAAAAATACAGTTGAAGCAAAAACTTGGCTTGATA